TTGGAGCTGAGTGAGAACTTGATGCTAATTTACTTGATATTACAGTGCATTAATAAAGAGACAGTCTCCCTTCAGCAGGGAGGCTCTTGGAATTCAGCTCTCCCAAACAAACAGTGGGAAGCAGAAACACATGGCAGGGAGGGATAGAAAGCTCTGCTCCTCCTGCCCTGGTGGCAGCAGGGAAAGCACAAAGGGATGTTCCTTTGGGAAGAAAATAGAAGCATTGGAAGAAAAGCTATTGGGAGTTTTCCAGGGAATTGGTTCCCTGTTGGGAACACACCAGTTGTTGCAGGAATTGTACTGGGAGCAGATCCAGCCCTGGGAAAACTTGTCAGGCAGCAGAAACACCTTGGAAATGGAACTGGGGAGTCCAGACATGGGAGATTTTAGTCTGAACTGGGCAGATTTGCAGGGGGGAGTCCCAAACCTGCCCAAGCTTGGGTAGGAACAAACACGAGATTCCCCTCCCAGGGAAGGGATTTTATCAGCTGGTTCCACAGAATGATGGAGGAGCCACTTGTATTTCACACATCTCAGCTGAGGATACCAACCATAAATATTTTTTTAAATGGGAGACAGAAGTTTTCAGTTCCCTGCATAAAGTGTCTTCACTAATATTGATAATTTTTTGCCGTTCACCTCGTCTGAAAATACCAATATGCCAATAATGCACTTCAACAGCTATAAGACACACCATTAAATTTTATGTAGTTGCCCCTCCACTGATCTTACAGGACATAATTTCTAGACAGAACCTGGTGCTGAATAAATAGAATTCTGTCACAGCCATGTATATCTTGGGAAGCAAAGATGTTGGGATAATTGAGAACACACGTGGTCATGAAACATGAACCACCACAGACTCAGGTCCTGCACGAGAAGTAGAAGAGGAAATCACATGAACTGCTTTGGAGTGGTCTGAAAAAGAAAAAAAGAAAAAGGAAAAGAAAATTCAGAGCAATATGTCATCATTAGTTGGGAATTTCTGCCTTTTTCTTCTCATATAGATTTCCCCAGTGCCAATATTCCTCGTGTTGAACAAATTAAAGTGACAAAACTCAATATGGAAATGAAGATCATTAACATATCAACCAAACTGTCGATATTCCAAAAACCAGCCCGAGCTGCCAAATAATCCTCTGATTAACGACTTGGGGGTGTCAATTAGCACTGCAGCCACCCCCTGCCCCTTGCCCACAGCCAGATGTCCTGAAAGAATCAACTGGTTCACTGTGGCAAAGAGCATCCTGTTATCTTCGTGTGATCATTGCTCTGCTATTTAATTGCTTTGTTTCTTCAGGAAAAGTCTGTTCCTTAATTACGCTGAGCTGATAATTAGTGCAAAAGTGAAATCTTGCAGTTCAGTTTGCCAGGTTCTGGATTTTTAATCACAGAATCCCAGAACGGTTTGGGTGGGAAGGGACCTTAAAGATCATCTCGTTCCACCCCCTGCCATGGGCAGGAATTACCCCCCAGTGAAGGATTTTTGTTTCCCAACATGCTTTGTGGATGTACTTCATTGCCATCATCCCATCCATGCAGCCTGCTTTTTTTTCCTGAAAAGGGCTCTTCCACAGATTTCTGGGCGTCAAAGTTCATTATAATCAGCCTTCTCCAATTAATTCTTCAATTTCTGAATGATAGAATTACAAAACTTCTGAGGAAGCCACAGCTATCAAAACAAAAACCCCGGGAAACGAGGTTTGTGTGCAAGAATTTGACAGGGACTCTAACAACAGATGATCATTTCCAATAACAATACAAGAAAACATTTTCCCGTGGAATGTGTACCAGAAAAATCTGCAGCAACTTTCACATTATAAAAGCAAACAGAAGGATCACCGTGTGCTTCTCTATCAATTGATATTTACTTGTTTATTTGTGAGATGGTTTTACGAGTGGGGCCAATAACTTATTCATTACAACTGCACAAACACTGATTTAGCATTTGCGTGCCCAGCTCCTGACCTGGAGATGTTTGTCTTTCACTTTTATGAGCTATAAAAGCTTTGCAAACAGGGGGTTGGAGTGGAGGCTGACAAGCCCTGGCAGTGAGGATGGCACAGCACCGAGCACACATCCTTCAGCACTGACATTTCCTCCAGTGACACAAGGTCATGCAAGCCATGAATGGCAAAGCAGAGCCAGGAAAAATGGATATTAATGAAGTGTAGCTCTGAGTAATAATGCCATGAGCAAGCCCTGATAACAAACACATTCTCCTAATAACATCTTCAATTATCTTCATTAATGCCTGTCCGTGGCAGAATGTGCAGTGCAGCCCTTCAGGACCACAGACCCTGCAGGATTGGAACACACTTGGACTGATTCCTCCAGCTTATCCAGCAAAGTGCTGGTTGATGGATGGCTTAAAGGATGATAATATGCATTTATCATGATTTTTTTGGGAGCGTATGCCTTCATCATGTCAGGAGAACTGGAGGTTTGAGCGGGGTTGCTGCATTCCCGGGAGATGTGTAGGCTCTGAGGAGACAGAAACTCTGCCTGGCAAACGTGTGCAGCCCTCCAGTGCTGGTGGGATGAGCAGCAGAGCACTCCTGAGGTGCACAGGGGGGGCTTCCCAAACCTGGGACCCTCGGGGGAACCAAGAGACCCACCAGGAACCCCCCGTTGTGTGGCAAGACCAGGAGCAGCAGCAGCCAAACCCCCCTCGTCTGCAAAACGAGCCCCTGGGGAGCACTGACGGCTCCAGTTGCACCAGGGGGGAGGTTTTTGGACATCAGGAAAAATTTCTTGACCAGAAATGTTGTTCAGCCCTCATTTTACAAGCAGGGCAATAATTCCCAGGGCAGTGGTGGAGGAGTCCCCATCCCTGGAGGGATTTAAAAGAGGTGTGGATGTGGCACTTGGGGACGTGGGTTAATGGTGGGCTTGGCAGTGCTGGGGGAATGGTTGGATTTGATGATCTTAAGGGTCTTTTCCCACCTTCAAATATCTATAATTCTATGATTCTTTCACCCTGCCACACACTGGAGTTCAGCTCAGGTCCAGCTGTCCTTGGCAAACATTCACATCACATCCCATCCCATCCCTGCTCCTCCTTTTCAGAATGAGCTCTGAGCTTCTGAAAGATGCCAGGCAGCAGCTCTAGGAAATTAAATCCTTTATTCAGAATTTAGCTCAGCATGGCACTGACATCCCCCTCAAATTGGCTCTCAACTCTTTGAGTCCTATTTTGGAAAAGAAAATTTCCAAGGAGAGGAGAGGTTATCAGTCAGCAAACCCTGGTGAGGCTTGTGACAAAGAAGGGATAATTAGTGCTTTCTGTAAAAGCATCTTTTAGGATGTGGCCATTATCTCTATTTGAAGGATGAAATTGAGACTAGAATTTCTGATAATACTTGGAGATATTTACTGTGAGTGAAAGATCCTGAAGTACCAACAATCCCCTCCCTTCTCAGCATCAGCTCTGGGCCATTTATGGCTCTCTTAGGATGATGTTAAAGACAACACAAAACTAATTATTTTATGTATTTGCCAACACTTGTGTCAGTTCTAGGTTTTCGTTGACTTGAACTTTGAGGTTAGGACATTCCAAGTGCAGGAGCTGAAAAGCTTCCAAGGAAGTCCCTCACTGGCTATTTTTAAAGCTGTTTTTTCTTTTTCATTGCTGCATGTAAAAAGGGAAGAATTTTAATGTTTAAAAAAATTAAATAAAAAATTAAAAATTAAATAAAAATAAAATAAAATAAAATAAAAATTAAATAAAAATTTTAGAAAGTAAAAACGTGTCCAAACGTGAAGAGAGGGAAACTGTGCAAGTCCTTCTCTCCTCCCAGACCTTGCTGAAATCCTGGGTAATGGGAAGGAAAAGCTGCAAGAGATTTTTGTGTCACCACTGAAGCCTTGCCTGGATATTTTTATAGTAATTTCAATTTAATAAAGTCATCATCTGTAAATTTGCTCTCCTCTCCTTTGAATTGGAAAACATTTAGTCTCAACCCCTGCAGCCCTCCTGTGATCACACAGAGATGCTAATGAGGTTATGTCTCAATCTCGTCCTCCCTGGTGCAAACACACTAAGTGAGTCTTTTCAACTCAGGAACCTCATTTATCTTCAGCAAGTTGCTCTCTTGTTATCGTGGCTCTACTGCTAGTCAGAGCAGGGACAGCTCTGGAAAAGAGAAAGGTGGAGAGGAGGAAGGTGGAGAGGAGGAGGAAGGTCAAAGGAAAGGAGAGGACGGTCCTGGTGCAGCTTCACCTGGAGTTCTGGGGCAGTTTTGGGTGGCACAACATAATAAAGCTGTTGGAGAGGGTCCAAAGGAGGGACATGGAGATGGGGAAGGCTCTGGAGGGGCCACATGAGGAGGAGCTGAGGGCACTTGGTTTGTTCAGCTGGAGAGGAGGAGATTGAGGTCAGAGCTCATCAAGGGCTGCAGCTCCTCCCAAGGGGCAGCTCCAACTTCTGCTCCCTGTGAGCAGGGACAGGACCCAGGGAATGGCAGGGCAGGGTCAGGTTGGGTCTCAGGAGAAGGTTCTTCCCCCAGAGGGTGGTTGGCACTGAACTAGCGAGGTGAACACCCCCTGCAGAAGCAGGGTGACCTTTTTGGGGGAGGATGTTTTACTTCCTAGGCTATGTGAGCTCTGTCCTGCTCTTCAGGCCAGTTATCAAGGGCTCTATCAAAGAGGGTCCAAAGGAGGGACATGGAGATGGGGAAGGGTCCGGGGGGACTCTGCAAGGAGCAGCTGAGGGCACTTGGTCTGTTCAGCTGGAGGAGAGGAGCCAGAGGTCAGAGCTCATCAGGATCTGCAGCTTCCACACGAGGGGCAGCTCCAACCTCTGCCCTCTGTGAGCAGGGACAGGACCCAGGGAATGGCTGGAGCTGTGCCAGGGCAGGGTTAGGTTGGATATCAGGAGAAGGTTCTTCCCCCAGAGGGTGGTTGGCACTGACCAGGCTCCCCAGGGCAGTGGGCACAGCCCCAAGGCTGCCAGAGCTCAAGGAGGGTTTGGACAACACCCTCAGGGACAGGGTGGGATTTTAGGGTGTCCTGTGCAGAACCAGGAGTTGGGCTGATGCTCCTTGTGGGTCCCTTCCAGCTCAGGATATTCTCTGATTCCCTGGGAATGGAATAGTTTTTTCATGGCAAGGGAGTTATTGGTTAAGTTTCAGAGTTTACCCACGTGCTGGGCTCAGAGTAACAACAAATAAAGACACAAAGGATAATAAAGGTGGAAAATAACAGGGCGCCAAAGCAATAGAAGGCTTTGTCAGTGGAGGGGGTAAACCCTACACTTAGGCCAGATCAGAGGAAGATGGGAGGAATTAACACAGCAATCAGAGGTTTAAGGGATCAGGATTTAAAGGCCTTGCTGTCATTTGGGAGATATGAGGAAAACTAAGCACCTTCTAATAGTAGAACATCACACAAAAGGATTTGAACCATATTTATGTGTACAATAACGATTTACACCTTTCACCTTGTAACTCAGAGCACCTACTGAACTCAATTCCACAGCTTTGAGAGTCAGGAGGTGCTGCAGGTACCCTGAGCAGAACAAGAAACACAGCTGGGCTGAGGCTGCCCAGCCCCACAAGCATTCCCACACCTCCCAGCTCCATTCAGGAACTCCCAATAAAGTTTCCCAGCCTGCACTGTGAGGAACAAGACACGGATAATTTTTTTGGGAACCCCAACTGAGCAGCAAACCCAGTGAAGAAAGAACAGATACCTGAACATCCAAGGTCTTGGGCTTTGATCGTGGCTGGGTTTGGGTTTCTTTTTAAAAAAACCTACTTGGCTTATTAATGATTAGCTTTTATTAGCTATCTCACATAAGTTTTGGATGCATGGAAACATTTTTCTTCTCGAGTTTTACCTCTGCAGTGCCCAGAAACCACAACGCTGATGTGCAGCAGCCGAAACGACAGCCTTGAAACTGAGCCCTTGTTAGCACAGCCACACTACAAATCTGCCCAGAGCAGGCTCCAGAGTAAGGTCTCATCTTTGCCAGAGAGATGAAAAAGCTGAAAAACAGCAGAAGAGAAAGCAGGAGTTTTGTGGGTAGAGAAAGAAAGGGCAAAATAAGTGATTCCATGGGGCTGTTTGAGTGCGTCATCCCCGTGCCTGCAATGATCCCTGAGAGGCAGCTTTTAAACTTGACCACGTTCAACCTCTGCTGAAGAACGTTTGCACACGAAGAAAAGGAATGGTAGGAGTGTTTTGTGGGCTGTGACACTCCAGCCCTGCAGATCCCAGCTCCCCAAGAGCCAGCAGTGGGATCCTGGGAACAGCTCCATGTAGGTGCAGCACCCACACTGCTGGGGTGTCCTTGCTGCCTGTGCAAAAGGAGCAGTAAATAAAATAAAAAACCCTGGTCCAATTAAAGGTTCTATTAGTTGGTAAATTATGGCCACACTGCCAATAACTTCACTCCATTTAACTGCCAAACCTGCCTGGACAGAATAACCCTTCTGAAGGACAGATATTTGAGTTTTCACAGACAAGACAAAGGATAAAAAAGAAACAAAAAGAGTTCTTTTCTAGCATAAATCACTGAGCTTTGGCTGATTTAATTTGATTGACAAAGGGTAATGTTAACTATATAGAGCAGATCTTAATTCCAGTTGGAACTGGACATCAGGAATGGACAGGCTTGCCTGAAATATTTCACAGCAGAAGCAGGATGAGCTCCCTGAGCTGCCTTCAGCCCATCACAGCACCCAGAGGGATGGCAGGGGCAGCTCACAGGGACTGTGGGAGAAGGGGGAACAACTCCTGGGGGCAGCTTTGCTTTGAGGGGTGAGGAAATCTGCTGTGGCTGTGACAAGGGATGGTTCTGCAGGAACCACCATGAGCCCTGTCCCTTCTCCAGCCCATCAGATCCCTCCTGCAGCTCCCAAAAACTGATATTTCCCCCCCGTGCTGTAGAACAGGAGGGTGCAAGGTGTGAGGGCTGCACGGCAGCTCCCCCAAGCCAGGCTGCTTTCCTTGGCTTCACAAAAGCGCTTCCACAGAATAAGGAACAAAAGGATTAGGGAAAGGTGTGAATAATGCACTTCTACCCTGTCTATCCCCGCTTGCTGTAACAGATTGGTAAAATAACTTCATCCACCAGTTTATTAACAGCTTGCCCTCTCTTGTATCTCACCTCCATAATGAGATAGAGCAGATATGATGGATTACATTTTGCCTCCTGCTTCCATCCCGAATGAATTATCATTTCACTCCCCTCTCAGCCTCGTGGCTTGGCTGCCTGCAGCCCATTAAGAGCCGGGAAGTGGGAGGGGGAGGGTGAAACTGGTGCGATGTAAAAGGTAAAGGTCCCTCTGAGAAAGCAGCTTTAATTTTCAGACTGGAGGAGAGACGAAATTAAAACAGACCGAGGAGATTCTCTCCCTTCCATTTCCTCTGGCAATCCCAAAAAGCAAACAGAGCAATCCAAGTGCGGGAGGATCGGGGAGTTCAGTCTCAAAGTGCTGGGTGAGGGCTCGGCTCCCAGACACCGTCAATCACCATGAGCCGGGCTGGGCTTTTTCCTCCCTACCCAAAATACCTCATTCTGCAGCTCTGCCCCAGCAAAAGCCCTCGGAGAGACGAGTATTCCCAGAGCCATAACTCTTGCCCTGTTCTGACAAGAAGTGCTTTATCTCATCTCTCTTCACACACGAGTGTAGGAGTTTTACCCACACACATCAGAACAGATCATCTCAAACCTAACACACACTTTTGTGCATCTGAATAACAGAAATCAAGAGCTTTTTCCAGCATATTGAAGGCTTCAGCTGTTCCAGATAAAATCAAGGTGCTTCAAGATTTTCTGGGTGTATCACAATGCCACTAAATACCTGGTTTCTTCCCCACGGAAATAAAGCTCCTGCCTGACCCCAATCATTATCTCATCAGTCTTGATACATCAAGGAAATAGCACTCCCAGTTCTTGCTCTGGCTACTGCTTTAAAAATTGCTCGGGGTGCTCACACAGAGCCAGGAATTTTGTGTGTCCCTTTCTGCAGAGCAGAAACCTCCCAGGAGCACAACCCAGCACTTGCCAGCGGAAGAAAAGAGTTGCACAGCCCAGCCCTGAGCGGTTTTGTTGTGTTGTTCAGCAGGAAGTTTGTGTAATTATACCGTGGGTAAAGACATGACAACTGCCTTTTTTTTCCCTCCACTTTCAAGCCAATTGAGCGCTATGAAAATTCATGAAGCGAAAATTAAGAAGCTTCAAGCAGCTTCGGCACTGACCCTCTGCTTTTCCTTTCCCTTTGCCAAGAATTTGTTACAGGTTCTACCACCAAGAGCTCCTCATTCTTCCCTATAAAAAACATCAGAGCTCACTGTATCTTGTAGCAGCAAAAATCTTTCCCCCCACCAGCACTGCAGCCTTTACAGCTCACTGATATTCTCTCCTCACCAATATTTCCATACAGGGTTTATTTTGGAGCATATTTTAGTCTAATGTGAAGGATGAGTCCAGCAACCATTAGCTAAACATTGTAAGTGGGTATTTCAGGGGTGATGGCAACTGTATCTAAACAGGCAAATTAAATCATAAAACAGTTTTAACTTTAGATAAACTCCATGAGTGGCTCACTACAAGAGAACTAAAAAAGAGAGGAGAGACTGGGCTGACCCAGCAGCTTTATCAGACACCTTTAATTTCCATCTTCAGAATTTCATGCTGCGGCGAGAATATGAAAGATATTGATTTTCGCTCGTACCTACGGTGCAGGACAAGATCTAAATTTGATTTTCGGTTACCCTCGTGCTCTGTGCAGCAGAGACAAATCAAAAGCAGCAGAAAAACCCGTCCCTGGGGCAGGTGACCTTCGTGGCAGACACTGCAGTGACACCTGAGGGCACCAGCTGAGCAGATCCAGCACCTTCCAGGCTCACATCCACCCAGGGGCTGTAGGAACAGGCTTTGGGATGGCTCCCAAAGTTCCCATTAGCAAGGTGAACACCCCCTGCAGAAGTGGGGTGACCTTTTTTGGGAGTGTGTGTTACTTCCTAGGCTGTGTGAGCTCTGTCCTGCTCTCCAGGCCAGTTATCAAGGGCAGTCATCTCGTCCTCCCTGGTGCAAACACACTAAGTGAGTCTTTTCAACTCAGGAACCTCATTTATCTTCAGCAAGTTGCTCTCTTGTTATTGTGGCTCTGCTGCTGGTCAGAGCAGGGACAGCTCTGGAAAAGAGAAAGGTGGAGAGGAGGAAGGTGGAGAGGAGGAGGAAGGTCAAAGGAAAGGAGGGGACGGTCCTGGTGCAGCTTCACCTGGAGTTCTGGGGCAGTTTTGGGTGGCACAACATAATAAAGCTTTTGGAGATGGTCCAAAGGAGGGACATGGAGATGGGGAAGGGTCTGGGGGGACCCTACAAGGAGGAGCTGAGGGCACTTGGTTTGTTCAGCTGGAGAGGAGGAGATTGAGGTCAGAGCTCATCAGGATCTGCAGCTTCCACACGAGGGGCAGCTCCAACCTCTGCCCTCTGTGAGCAGGGACAGGACCCAGGAAATGGCTGGAGCTGTGTCAGGGCAGGGTTAGGTTGGATATCAGGAGAAAGTTCTTCCCCCAGAGGATGGTTGGCACTGAACAGGCTCCTCAGGGCAGTGGGCACAGCCCCAAGGCTGCCAGAGCTCAAGGAGTGTTGGGACAACGCTCCCAGGGACAGGATGGGATTTTGGGGTGTCCTGTGCAGGGCCAGGAGTGACTTGATGATCCTTGTGGGTCTTTTCCTGGATATTCTGTGATTCTGTGACTCTGCTGGCACGATGTGTGATTCTTCCCCTGGACTCGGCGCTGGTGAGGCCACCCCTGGAGTGCTGTGTCCTCAGTTCAGGAAGGATATTGAGGTCCTGGAGCAGGTCCAGAGAAGAGCAACAAGGCTGGGGAAGGGACTGGAGCACAAGTGCTGTGAGGAGAGGCTGAGGGAGCTGGGGCTGTTCAGCCTGGAGAAGAGGAGGCTCAGGGGAGACCTCCTCACTCTCTGCAACTCCCTGACAGGAGGGGGGAGCCAGGGGGGGGTTGGTCTCTTTTCCCAGGCAACTCTCAGCAAGACAAGAGGGCTCAGGGTCTTCAGCTGTGCCAGGGGAGGTTTAGGTTGGATATTAGGAAGAATTTCTTCACAGAGAGGGTGATCAGCCATTGGAATGGGCTGCCCAGGGAAGTGGTGGATTCTCCGTCCCTGGAGGTTTTTAAGAAGAGACTGGATGTGGCATCAGTGCCATGGGCTGGGAACCACAGTGGGGTTGGATCAAGGGTTGGACTTGATGATCTCAGAGGTCCCTTCCAACCCAGCTGATTCTATGATTCTATGATTTTATGTTGCTTTTGTGCCAAGCCCACCTTCCCCTTGGCCATCACCCCCACCCCCTGAGCACCCTGTGCTCCCCCAGCACAGCCACCACCCCCCTCCCAAGCTGCCCAGAGCCAGCCCAGGTGCTGCTCCTCGGTGATGCTGAACCCCCCTCTCTCAGATATCAAATGATTTCCAATGTCACGAACCCAGCTTTGCAACCAGGGCTTTGGCTTACAAGGATTAAAGCTCAAACACTCAGATCCTGTGTTCTGTGTCTAATAATCCTGTAATAATACCTGCCCGAGACTCAGAAGGGGAGAGAAAATAAAGGGGTGAAAACAAAAGAAAAAAAAAACAACAAAAAAAAGGATAGGTTTTTGGATAGATTTTGTTGGATGTTCCTGAAAAACAAGGGTGGGCTGGAAAAGTCTGCTCCAAACTCGCCCCCGTGAGCAGAGCACGGGATGAAAGGAGAGCAGAGGAACTCTGAAAAGACAAGGAGCTGACTTTGACAGATGGATGTAAATGTGCCTTTCAGAGCAGGAGAACAGTTGATTCTAAGGCATGAAATCAAATTAGTGCATCTGCAGCTGCCTATGTGTCATCCAGCTTCATATTTTACACACTAAAGACATTTTTTAACCTCATGTTAGCTACACTTCTTCTTTTTTTTTTTATTTTTTTTTTTTTTTTAGTATTACGCTCCAGGACTTGCAAAAATGGTATTGGCAGGTATTAAAAATGAAAGCTGAAGCAACGGTGCAATCTGTCTCCTTTTCTATTGTGACATGACAGAAATCTTTCCTGGACTCATTCACTAGAAGGTAGAAGTCTTGGAAAAAAAACAAATTCCCAGCCTCAGCTTCTTCAAGAAATGCAAAAGTCTTCAAAAGCTGTAAGCCAAAAGTATGATTTTGCATTTCAAGGAATCACAGAATGATTTGGGTTGGAAGGGACCTTAAGAATTATTCACTTCCAATCCACAACCCCCTTTCTGGAGGAATTAGAGGCGAGTTGGTTCTCTGACCATCTCACCCCTCCACAGGTTCTCCCACATCCCCCCAGGAGCCCCCAGCACCAGGCCCATCAAAACTGGCCCTGGGATGTGTTCCCTGAGCTGATGAACCCTCTCATTTTTATCCTGATATGGCTGGAGGAGCAGTGCAGGATCATGTGTCTGCACACATAGATAAAAACTCTGTTAAAGAGCAATTAAAGCTATTTGCTGTCCATGTACAATGTAGCTTATTGCACTGGAGCCATATGGAA